AAAAGAGACCCGTGGTTCCAGAAAAATTATGTGGCCGTCAGACCTAGAGAAGATGAAGCGGTGACTCTGGATGATGTTTGTGCTGTGTTTGACGATATTGAGGTTGAATTATTTTCCGCTCTCTATTATGTAGATATACTTTGTTCAGTTTGTCTGTGAGGATGACTTTTCAAATTAACGATATCGTAGCTTCAATGCTTGTAAAACTTTTTGTTCTATGCCTTGTTGAGTTTCAGTATATCTTCATTCAATGAAATACGTTCTATTGTTTGAAAATGCAGGATAAATATGTCAATGAGGAAATGCGGAGTAATGACAATGGCCCTCTGATAATGAATGCATTTGAGATGATTACCCTTTCTCAAGGGTTAAACTTATCAGCTTTGTTTGACAGGCGGCAGGTATATCCATAGAATTATGATTATATAAATCATAGCTCTCATCTGTAAACTACTAAGAGCTTTAACTACCGTAGTCGTGTTTCTTTAAAAAAGGAAACATGCTCTTTTCTAACATGTGCCGTCTTTTTCTGACTTCCAACGCACAAGAAATTAGCTTCACAGTCACTGCAGTTTCAATTATATTTCCAAAGGCACCCCCTTACGTTTTTAGATTTCATGATTTAATCCTTTTGTTATCTAATGATGGATTCTATCTATGCCTGTACACAGGATTACATTAAACGGCAGACACGTTTTGTTTCTCGACAACCTGCCAGAGTTATTATTGCCACAATTGAGGCAGCTGCTGAGTCGATGGGTCTCAAGGTTCACACACGGAATTACAAGGTCTAGTTTTCTTCCCTTAAATTATGTGGTGACATGCCCTTTATTCGTATTCACTTGATGGGCTTAGCCATATTATCTAGGCATGCTTATTTAGACTACGAATTTGTTGTCCGAGATTACAATTCTTCACTCAGTCCTTGCTAATTACTTTCAATGACAATCGCTTAACAGACAAGACTCGAGGGTACATCTGCTAATAGGGCCGGTCAATTTGCTGTTGTGCTGGAGGCAAGTTTGACATTTCAATTTACCGCCTAACGTTTTAGTGGTTTCATTTTCTTTTTTATATATATATATATATATATATATATATATATATATATATATATACACACACACACAATTTCATATTGGTTATTTTTATAGGTTTACGAAGTTGCACCATCTCTTTTTATGGTTGATGTGCGTAAGGCAGCTGGAGACACCCTGGAATATCACAAGGTCACACCTTTGCTTCTACCATACTAAACTAACTTCCACTCTTGGAATTTCGATTCTCGTGAATTTTCTTTTCTGATAATTTTCTTTTTATTTTTCGGCAGTTTTACAAGAATTTATGTGGGACGATTGATAATATTATTTGGAAACCGAATGAAGGTACGCCAAGTTCTGCTTTGCTTAGAACAATGACTTGTTGATCCTTACTCGAGGGTATGAAGCAAATCAGTTGGTAAGCAATTCAAATCCTTTCAATT